GAACTGCAAGCTTTGAATGCTTATATCTTCTAAATGCTAATTTTGTCACTGTTTTGGAGCACACTGTCTTAGAGATAACCTTAAGACTAACATATTGATACTAACACCCAAAAAACTTTAATTTTGATTTCGTGGGGACTTTAACAAATACCTGATAAACACAAGCAGATCACTGTGTTTAATCTGTGCTACATAAGTGAATTTAATTATTTTTTAAAAATCTAAATTATCTATCTATCTATCTATCTATCTATGCTGCTTCATCAAGACTTTTATTTTGTAGGATGCTGTATACTACAGTAATGTTCAGAATATTACGTCTGTCCCCTAAAACATCTATTTTTAGAATCTTTATGATGATTTATTTTACGAGGCCATCCATTTCAGTTGGTGATATAAAATATACTTCATTTAAAAACAGAATAACATTAGCGCATCATTTATCCGTTTCCTAAAGATTAGTGGAGATCTGGGCTTCTGTATATTTCCATCATTTTCATTGAATCAGGACCAACTTGGACACAAAGGATGATTTTCCACAGATGCCGGTTCACAGTGTCTATATAGAACATGCCATCCAATACAATGCACGGAAGTAAAACCTAAAACAAGTTTGAATATTCAATACATTTGTGTTCGACTGCATCATTCAAAGTCCTTCACTAAAGTTTCAGCTGCTGTTGATGGATTGTAATAGTTGAGAACAGCTGCGTTTAGCAGTAAATGTGAACTGAAGCTCTTGGGGTTTGAACATGGTCTCTGGAGACGGAGCTGCTCTATTCTGAGACGATCAGAATCACTAAAGCTGCCAATGCAAATCTGATTTTCACCTCAAACTCACAGTTTCACTGTTTGATCGATTAAACGCTCTGAACTGGATCAGTTTCACTTCTGCTCATGAGAAATGAGTTATGAGTGATAAATCAGATAATGAGTAAAAAAAAAACATAAAATAAAAAAATCAGCTTGAGAAAAATTAGCTACCTGAGAAACTGCTCAAGATCATTTTTATGTTAGCCTACTGGTGCTACCCAATGATTATATGACTTTAAAATTCAATATGAGTGTATGAATGAATGCACAATGATATTATTGTTTCTTTGATTTGGTATCACTTTACACACTCTGTTTTTTTCTGATTCTGAGCATTGTTGAGTCAAACCCGTCTGTCACAGGACAGATCACAGTCTAATAGAGCTGATTTCTCTCATATCTCAGTGAGCACATGTGTAGTTCTCCTCAGTCACTGTGTCTCTGACTGATGGAGGTTTTTGCACAGCTCTTTATCACTGTGTGAACACATAACTACCATGGTCACTCATACAGTAATAATGTGCAGCATCTTCAGTCTGGACTCCACTGATGGTCAGAGTGAAATCACTGACTGGAGTGTGCTTGCAAAATAAATCAGGAGTTTAGGAGCTTCCCCAGGTTTCTGTAAGTACCAGGATAAACCATCACGCCCACTATGCTTGATCACTTCTCTGCTGATTTTGCAGTTGATTTTGACTGTTTCTCCTGGTTGAGCTGCTGTCGTTGAGGGACTCTGAGTGATGATGATCTGTCCTCTACACTCTGAAACACAACAAGAAGAAAATCAACTCAAAACTTATAACTAGCAGTCATATTCTGGTTGACAATATCCTTGAAGAAATGAATTGATATCAAATGTGCTCCACAAACCTTGAGCAAACGCTGTGAGAGTCCAGATGAAGATGATGATGAAGGTCATGTTGATGAAGATTGTTGTGTGTGTCAGTGATGAAGTGTTCAGCTCACAGCACTATAAACACTCTCAGCATCTGGAATATGCAAACAGTGTCAATGTCATTTACCTGAAAACAATCTGAAGACAGTGAGAACATGGAGTAAAAATGAGCAAAAATCTTCTGGTGTTCTTTGCTCATTCTGAAACAGCGTGCTTTCTCTCCAAATCTACTCCACATCCTTATATGTTCCAGTAGTTTATTAACAGACATGAGGATCATCACACACGTGTCTCTGTCAGTCACTGAATCAATGAGTTTGATTGTGAGTCACATCACACATGATATAAAACATTCACTTTTTTAAATTCAGTTTCATGCTTTAGTAATAATGCAGACTGCATAAAGCACATGAAGTAAAGGAAGGTATTTTCTGCTGTGAGTCACTGTGTTGGTTGGAGACTCAGTTGATATGTGTTTGTGCAGTTAGTGAAGAGGTTTTTGTTCAGCTGCTCTATTAGTTTGTATCACTGTGGTTGCCTTTCAGCAGCGGCACCAAACTGGATGTTGGCAGTAAGTAAATCATCAGATATTAATATTATTAATACAACAACTAAAAAGAATGCACTTTTCAGTGTGTTTTTTAATATTACTTTTAAGCAATTATTACATATTGAATGTTTGTCAGTCAACACTGTAAAGATGGTTTTCATCCACTGAACTAGCCACAATCATTTCTGACATTTCTACTTGTTTTCATATCAGAGCTTCAGCTCTTTTTTTCCCTCATAGACATAACAAAATGAAATGCAATAACATTAGGCTGGTATTCTGGCTTCACATTTTACTTGAAAATTTAAGACAATATAAAAAAAATTTTACTATGGTGATTTTTAGTAAAGCTATTTTAAAGACACAAATTGATGGATTTTTCCTAGTCTTATTGTTAAATGAAATGCAAACTGCAAATTATAGGCTTAATTGTATTTTTTCTTAATGAAGCAGCTCTGTTGCATACTTCAGAAGTAATAAGGTGTATAAACTTAATATATTAAATTAAGTTTAAATTTATAGTGCATGTGAAACACAACATTTCTTTTGTGATTTTATACAAACCTTTGTACCCACAATTTCTAATGTTGCCATCTTAATTATAGTCAATTCCTGAATTTATTGAGTTTATTTCTTATCTTAGATGCTTTTAACCAATTAAGTAAAAAGTAAAAAATTAATCTCTAAGAACATTTACATCAGCTTTTTGTTTGTTGAAAGTTTAAAGCTGTTTAAGTGAATCAAGTACAAAAATTATAGAGAAATACTAGTACTTGCTATTTCTTTTGGATTCTTATTTGTCTTTGTCAGTAAATTCTTTTTTTGTAAAAATTATGCTGTGACCTGAAATTATCATTTTTTTTTCAGTCAGAATCTTAGTTTTGCTTGTTAACTTGTTAAACC